TGGTTCCATTTTAGTTACTAGATTTACAATATGATATATATAATTTTGCACCTTGAGATCTAAAACGGCCAATTTTACTATTTTGTAACTTTTACTAAATTACCATTGATTTCATATTTTTCATAAAGCTCTGTGTCAGTATTTCGTACATCTTCCATTTTTTTGTTTACATTATAGAACTACCGTCCAAGTTGTTAACGGGCAACGTGACCACACCAAAATGTCTATGTCTAAATGCACCGAAACGTTTTATATCTTTCCTTACACGTGTGATTATTTATAACATCTATTCGAACTATTAAAAATACAAATTTTAAAAGCGTAATCTATAAAATACATTTCATTATTTTAAAATGATTAATTTTTAAATTTTAGATATAAAATATATTCCTTTTGAAAAATTTCAAGAATATTACTGGCATTTGTCCCGTAGTATAAAATTAATCGACGAACAGTATGGATGGCAACTCTTGTTGGGTTTGGTGCAGAATGTCATAAGTCTTATCGTCACGCCAAATATTTTTATAGTGCAAATAATTAATCCGGCAAAATGGGGGCCAGCAAACGTAAAAGTCATGGTAATTTCCATGGCCTGGATATTAACTCACCTGTTGTACTTATTTCTGATGGTGATACCCCCGTCTTACGCCGCTACTAAAGTAAATATAATGTTGACAATCACTGAAATAGAGGTAGGTGTAGCAATATCGTTTTGATTTGTTACAGGCCGAACAGACAGCTGTAACTATTTGTCAACATTTAAACATATATCTGGTGCCGAACGATATGAATGTGGTAATTATAGAAGTTGTTTATAGTTTTACTGATTTGTGATGGGTCTGAAATCCGGATTACCAATCCAGTCAGCCGTTAGTTTAGGTTAGTTTAGGTCAATCCGATTATTCAAATTGACAATAATAGCGGATTATCCAATGATTTATTTTTTTTCTTTAAATCTTTGCGACGCGTCAAATTTGGATTTTGTAAATTTGGTTTTGGCAAACATAATTTTTGTTTAAAAGGAATAAACGTTTTTAATTTTTTTATATTGCAATTTTAACATTTATGACGACTATAAATTAGACTAAAGCTTTTTGAATATAACGTGCTATATGTAGTTATAATATAATACATGCATAACATTTTAACAAATCGGTGCAGTATATTTCTCAGTACCCATTATACCCAATACCTTGTAAAACACTTTAAATAATGAAAACCAATTGATTTTATTTTATTTAATTAATAGATTATAGGTTTTTAGTACTTAGAACATATACTTTTTCAATTCCATATGTTTCAGTTGGAAATATTCATCTTACAATTGCAAAAATTTAAAATACATTTTACTATTTGTGGAATTGTAAATTTGCAAACATCTGTAATAACGACGGTAATATTAATAAATGTTAAATACTTGCATTTCACTTTTAATTCAATTTAGCAAACATAAAACATTTTTTAATTTTTTTTAGTTGACTACAATTTTCTGGTTTCTGTAATTAATTGTATGCTTGCTTTTATAGTTTTGATTGTACTTAGTTGATGCAATTATCACATTAATAAATATTTAATATAATTAGTAACGAGAACAACATACTTTTCTTTTTGATAAAATCCTATTATAGAGGCTTGATAAATATTTTCACTCATTTTTAGTGTGTTTTTTAATTAACTGTGGTTGAAGTGTTTTTTTTATTAACTTTAAATGGTTATTGATTTTCAGGTGATTGGAACTACCATTACATATTTGGTGATTTTTATCCAATTTCAAAAGTGACTCCTAATTAATCTAATAAAGCATATTTGTTTTTTTTTTGCAAACAATGTTGATTACATTTTATCACTAAGATTGTATCTTTTTTGACGTACTTGACAACTACTTGTTGCCTAGCTTTATAATGAGAATGACGACACATAGTAATATATTTTCTTGCCATTTTCCTTATTTTTACTGTTTTAAATATTGATTACAAAAAAAACACTTTATTTAAATATATAAATAATTTTATTATCTCTACTTTTATTTTATATTTTTTTTCCTTATAAAATTAAAGTCATTTTAATTTACTTAAAATTAAAACTAAAAATTAATTAAAAACATGTTTTATTTGTTATGCGAGTATTTGTTAAAAAAAATACAATTGTATATATTATTTGAGATTTTATTTAAATTTTCATAATTATTAAAATTTGTATTCTAACAAAAAAATAATTAAAAAATACCTAGTTTTTAGTCATTGAAATGATGTTAAAATTTGACATCTATATTAATGAAAAATACTTTACCCACACAGAACAGCTGCGCCCATACACTAATGACTAATTGTACTACATTTACCTTACTTAAAATTAAGTCAGTGATGTCCACCGTTTGAGCTAAGTTTTAATTGTATGCATATACTTTTTGTGACTGGACCCATGATATCTTCTAAACAACTGAACCGATTTCTTTATGTAGCAACTCTACATATTAGAAATCGTATCTAAAAGGTACTTTAAGGGACCAAAAATTTAAAAAGTTCACTCCTTTCCCTTCAAAATTGACATATTTTTCATCTTAAAACTACGGCGTACTATATATATTTAAAATTTTTCCAGATAAAGTACTATCGATGTACGTTGAATATTTAAAACAATTTCTTAAAAACAAAACTCTTTTCTATAAAAGGGGTCAAAACTTTTTCTTTATTTCTCTTTCTCTAGCCAACATTTTGAACTAAGACTTACAATTAGACTGGTTGATATAGTGTTGGGTTATAGGTATCATTTATAATCACTTATAACTACTAATATATATATATATATATATACTCGTATATATATAAACCCTATAGGGTGACCACGAAAACACTTTACATTTTCAAAAAGGCAAAATAATATTAACTTTTCAAAAAAAAAAAATGTTTTAACAGATATACAATCTTCCTGGCGTTACGTTACCAAATCTCTCTCTATTTTAGCCTCGGTTTGTCACTCTCTCTCTCCTATTGCCGCCCTTGTATATAAATCGCATTCGAGACTACCTTTACCTACCGCTCCCAGTACGGCTTATATAATTTGTTCAGATTCTCTTTCATGCCTACAAGCTATATCATCCTTTCCGATCAGTTCTCATCTTTCCCCTTTTATCCTAATCATCAGATCATTATTCTCTTCAAACCACTCACAAAACAAATCAGTTATTTTCCATTGGGTCTCAGGTCACGTTGGTACTACGAGTAACGAGGTTGCCGACCTCCTCGCTAATTCCACTTCATCCCACATCATTCCGACCATCTCCAATAGTCCTTCTTCTGACTTCCTCCGCCTTTTCCGTCATACTGTATTCAAAGCGTGGCAAGACCAACGTTAACCTCAGTTCCACCCGCTGGTTCCGTTCTATTTCCCTTTCCATTAACTTTCGTCCTTGGTACCATAATTTAAATATTCCCAGAAATGTAATATCCTCTTTTTCACGCCTTAGACTTGGCCATAATCTTCTACCGTCACATCCATCTATCGCTTAATTCTGTTCCATATTGTCCTTTTCATGATGATGAAGCTATTTACAACTTCCCTCACCTATGCCATCTATTTTATGGCAATTTTCGAGAAAAAAAAATGTATTTAACTTGATATTGTGTAATATTATGTTTGTGGATGTAAGCCATTTACTTCAAGTAGCAAAAATGAGGTCAGGACGGTGATGTCTGTCTTCCATAAGGCAATTTTCAATTCTTTCGAGGAAGTTCTTCCACACTCTTTCTAGTGTCTACCTCGTGATTAGTGCCACCTACGAAATGCCGCTTTTAAATCATCCAAAGAAAATTGCCGTAAAATAAATGGCGTACACCCACAAACATGTTACATAATTTAAAACAATTTGATCCTGTAATTACATCTATGGCAATTGCTGTGGGTTAAACAAATATCTTGATAATTTTGTTTAATAAAATAATGCGCTATTCGAATATTGAAAAAAATAAGTGACAAAACATAACAATATACTTAACTCAATATGACAAGGTTATGCCATCGGTCGTTACGTGTAGTTTTTTTGTCCTAAAGAATACATTGTTAAATCATTTTATAAAAGAAAGCTGTTTAAAACTAAAAAAACAACTTCTTCGTAATGCGTTTTATTTGTTCTAATTCTCGGGTCAACATGAATACATTTTGCTATTAAAGTCTAATATTACTTGTAAATGAATACCGATGCAACCTTGGCTTTTTTCTTAATTATTTTTTCCGATAAAAACTGTTATAAAGGAATTACTAAAAAAAAAATCGCGTAGTCCTACGTGAAACATCCATACCTACGTCGCAGGGCAAGTGGTTGTCTTTATTAAAAAAATTAAATCACCACACTATCAAATTGTACCTAATATCATAATAAACACAAAGAGCGTTTTGAAAATTATGAAGAAAAACGTCCCATTGGAAAACTCGAGACTTTCGATGTTGATTTTTTCGAAATCGCTGACAAGACTCGGGAGGAGTGCTTTGATCTACCCGGTACGGTTTGTCGGCTCAACGGCGAACGTTGAGTTCAGTGCAAAATTATACGCGTTCAGCGTGCTCTCATTGGCCGTGTTGATGGTCTGGGGTTGGGCTTCGATAATAAGCGAAGTAAGATTATTTATGGTAGACAAATCGATTCATTTTAGCAGTGCTCCAGTGGCAACAATCGCGTTAATTCATTTCACACTGGTGACGGCGCCGTGCATGATGACCGTCATTGGGTCAGCGTCGAGGTACAAGATGTTGCTGGACATCGAGCGAGTGCTGATTTGCATTGACAAGGCGCTCGACGGCACCACGGCCGACAGACGCGTCGAATGGTCTGCGGTCTATATTGCTGTCCATCTCGTAGTGGTGTTTTCGTTAGACGTATACGTGTGGACGGACATCATCTTGACCAGCAAGCATTATATCATAATCTACGCGTTCCACTATATTAATTTTATATCTCTTGCCATGTACGCCCAAATTGCCTTATGCATCGGCCAAAGGTTCGACACTATTAACCGCGAGATGGAGGCCAAGCTCAAATGGTTGACGGCGACCAACTGTACGGAATTCGTTTCTCGAAAATACCATGATCTAACTGACCTTATCCAAAGCTCCAACCAGTTTCATAAAGGTGGGTGGCTATCATGAAAGAATAATAATATGTTGAATAAAAATAAATAATTGGTTCGGATGAATGTTGATGTTATTGTAAATATTAAAAGCAGCTGGTTTAATCTTTAAATTACAGATATAAAATATATTCCTTTTGCAAAATTTCAAGAATATTACTGGAATCTGTCACATAGTATAAAATTAATAAACGATCAATATGGATGGCAACTCTTGATGGGTTTGTTGCAAAATGTCATGAATTTTGTGATCGCTCCGATCGTTTTAATAGTTCAAATAACTAATCCTGCACAATGGGGGCCAGTAGACGTCAAAAGCGTGGTAATTTGTATTGCCTGGCTAGTAACTCACCTGCTGTACTTATTTCTGATGGCGATACCCCCGTCTTACGCCGCTGCTAAAGTAAATATAATGCTGAGAATCTCCAAAATATAGGTATAAAAATATCGTTATGATTTGTTATAGGCCGAAAAGACAGCTGTAACTATATGTCAACATTTGAATATATATCTGGTGCCCGACGATATGAACTTGGTAATTATAGACAAAAATAACGACAGCAAGTCGTATACGCTTTTAGTGATTTGTGATTGAGCAAATACGGCTTTATGAAATCTGTATAGTGTATATTCTCATCATCATTACATATATATTTTGTAGTGTCAATTATTATATTGTTTTTATCCAAGATTTACAATGTAGCCCCTTCTCCTCTATAATCGTTGTTTAAAAATAATTTTTGAACAACTTAGCACAGTATATTTCGCAGTATTTCGCCTCGTGTTACACTTTGAAAATTATATCATTTTTTTTAGAATACATTTATAAATTATAGGTTTTTAAATAATTAGGAACACATACTGATTTAATTGTATGTATTTCAGTTAGAAATATTGATCTTACAATTGCAAAAGTTTAAAATGGATATTTATTTTTGGAATAGTATTATTTCTTCAAAGAAAGTTATGGTTGGCTTTACAACACTTGTTTTTAGTTTAACAGGAATTGGGTCCTGGGAAATCGGATTTATGGTGTTGTGGCTAAAGGCATATATAGAGTGATTAACTTATCGTGAACCACTCAATATCTCACTTGGTTTAATTAATAATTGAATTTTTTTTCTATAATGTTTTTATATAATGTGATCTCAATTTCTCACCAATTTTTTAAATTTTTACTCCCCTTCCAACTTGGATCACGGCTGGTACTAAAAGCATTGTCGCGTTAACCCTTTTGGTTAACCTTTTAGTAGTGTTCGTAATATGCATATCTGTCAATACAATATTAATTATTATCTTAGATCGTTTACATTAGTGACTTCTTACCTAAAAGTAGTATAGAATATCACTCAAGAAATTAATGTTTTACATATAAGTGTGGAATTATTATGTCAATTATAGGATTGACCAATATTTAATAAAAATGTAATGTATGCACCAAAATATTTTAACGCTTTATTACTTAACGTAGTTAAATCCTATAATATAGATTCTTGTTCTTAAATTTGAGCTAAACGTAAAAAGTTAATGTATAAAACTTTTATTAATTATGTTAATATAAATAAATAAATTGATTTAATAGATAATTTAATAAGTCCCATATTTTTTAGCTGGAAATGTTTGTTCTCCAGTTGCACAAGTTAAAGCCTCATTTTACTATTTGTGGAGTCGTAACTTTGCAAAGATCTACAATAACTACGGTAATAATGATAATATTTATAAATATTTGAATTTTTTTTAAATGAGCTTGACGAAAGTTTTTAAATCATTAAATTTACTCTTAATTAATTGAAGGGCATAGGGGAAGAAGGGTAGTTGTCCATTAATGAAAATATTTTTTTTCAAATAGTTTTTTTCAATTTATGCCAATAATTTTTTTATTTATGTCAATAGATTGTTTAATTAATACATTTATTATTAGAGTAGCATTTAATGTGATTTTTTTTGTTCTTATGTAAGTGGTAGAGGAATTCACGAACTTTGTTTTTTAACTATACTCTAAAATTTTCATAATGTGACAACTACCGTTTTTCCCCTGTGCCCTTCATATGCCATTAATTTTTTATTTATGTCAATAAATTCTTTAAATAAATACATTTTTTTAGTAGAACAGCACTTCGTGTGATTTTTTTTGTTCTTATGTAAGAGAGAGAGAAATTCACGAACTTTGTTTTTGCTAAACTCTAAATTTTTATACATGGACTACTACCCTCCTTCCCCTGTGCCCTTCAATTCATTATACTTTGATTTAAAACAAATTTTCGTGTGGCTCTTGAAATTATTTAAGATTAGCTTGTCTTTGTATTGTTTTTTATTTAGCTAGTATAACTGTAACTTTTAAGGGTAGTTTTGTGATTTTTTTTATCAAAATATCAACAATTTTCATCTATTAAGGTCTATAGCATTATCAATATTTCTATTTTTTTATTAAAAAAAAAAAAGAACTTTTAATATAATATTGATAGGAACCAACTCTAGGTACGGGTTTAAAAATCTAAAAAAATATCAAAAATTGTCTTTTAATCCGACTTAAAATAAATAATTCTTCATTGATTTTCAGGTTATTGGCGTTGTCATTACATACTTGGTGATTTTTATCCAATTTCAAAACCGAGCATAAACGTCAAAAGTCAACTAACAGTCTTATTAGTACTCATTTTAAATTGTGTGTGTTGATATGTATCTAATTTAAATATATTTGTTGAAAAAGTTTCTAAAATGGCAAAACTGAATAAAATAATCTAAAAAATTCGAAATCCTTTTTTTAAAATTTGTTTAATTGTTTAGTGGCATATTTTTAAAATTATTTCTTTTGACGTAGTATTCTTATTCCATTATCTATTTTTATTATATTTCTATATTTACTTCTTATTATACTACTTTATATACAAAGACTAACTCATAAGACTCCTATTCCACCTATCCTTAATCTTAAGTTAATGTGTAAAAATACATAGTAATATTACTTGAAAATGGATACTGATGCACGTGCACCCTAGACAGTTTTTGTTAAACCTGGTTAGAACTGTTAAAAAGATATTACTAAAAAAATAATCGTACCGTCCTACGAAAAACATCTATACGTCAAAGGGCATGTGATTGAATTTGTTAAAAAAAAAAAAAAAAATATACCATGTAATAAAATTATACCTAATATTATAATAAACACAAAACACGTTCAAATAGTTATGAATAACGACGTCCTACTCGACAACTCGAAACTTTCGATGCCAATTCACAAAGGAAAACCAAATTAAAAATATTTAATATAATAAAAATTGACAAAACGTGATAATATACATAACATTTGACAAGGTTGTGCCTTCAATCGTATATGGTACTCCTATCTCACCCATTCCACCTAAATAAGGGTATCTTACTTTTTAAGAATTTTTCCCAAATCTGAAGTCTTAAGTATACCAAGTTAGACATGGAAAGATATACTTGATAACTAATTTCTAAAACAAAAATTATTAATATTGTATCTTATATATTATACAAGACATAATATTATATAATATAGAGTGACAAAGTCTATCTATTGATACATGTAGAATTAAGTATTTTCTCAGAAATATTCAGCTCCAAAGTTTACAAAAGAAAACCGAATAAAAATGATTTAATATAATGAAAAAATGACATACCATGAAAATATTTGACAAGTTTATGGCATCGGTCGTCATAGGTAGTTTATTTTTCCTAAAAAGTCCATTGTTAAATCATTCAATAAAAGAAAAAAAAAACTTTCTCGTATCGCGTTTTATTTCTTATAATTCTGGGGACAATATGAATACATTTTGCAATAAGGGAGTTATGTTCATTGTAATTGAATACTAATGAAGCGTAGGACGTTCTATAATAATTTTTTCATTAAAAAACTGTTATAACGAAAACGCTAAAAAAAAACATATAGAACTAAGAAAAACATCCATTCGTTGCTGGGCGTGTGAAAGAATTTACCATACTATCAAATTGTCCTAATACAACAATAAACACAAAACACGTTTTCAAAATTATGAATAACAACGCCCTATCAGAAAACTCAAAACATTCGACGTTTGTCATTTCAAAATCGCTTGCATTACTCGGTAGGAGCGCTTTGATCTATCCGGTACGGTTTGTCGGCTCAACGGCGGACGTTGAGTTCAGTCCAAGACTATACGCGTTCAACGTGCTCGCGGTGACCTTGCTGACGGTCAGCAGCTGGGCTTCGCTGTTGAACGAAGTGAGATTGTTTTGGATAAACCAATCGACTCGTTTCAACAATGGTCCAATATTAGTAGTCGCGCTATTTCATTTCACACTGGTGACGGCACCGTGCTTGATAGCCGTCATTGGTTCAGCGTCAAAACGGTACAAAACGTTGCTGGACGTCGAGCAAGTGCTGATCAGCGTTGACAAGGTGCTCGACGGCACTACGGCCGACAAACGTGTCGAATGGTTCGCACTCTATCTTGTCGTCCACCTCGCATTGGTGTTTTTGTTGGATTTCTCCATGTGGATGGATATCAACCCTACTAACAAGAGTTTTTTCTTAGTTTACGCGTTCCACTATATTAATTTTATGTCTGTTGCAGTGTACGCACAGATCGCCTTTTGCATCGGTCATAGGTTCGACACCATTAACCGCCAGATAGAGGCCAAGCTCAAATGGTTGACGGCGATAAACTGTACGGAATTCGTTTCTCGCAAATACCATGATCTAACTGACCTTATCCAAAGCTCCGATAGGTGTCATAAAGGTGAGCTGCTATCATAAACATTTATAGCTATCTACAACTTCATTATTGTGCATTAATCCACGGACGGTAGTGTCTAACATTTGGAATGACTAATCATTAAAGTTACCAAACTCACTTTTTGTAACTTTTGCTAAATGACTACTGATGTTTTTATTTTTCATAAAGCTCTATAGTAATATTTCGTACTCCTTCATATTTTTTTTTTATTTTTGTAAAATGTTTAACTTTAAATGTTTAAGAAATCTAACTAATTTTGTCTAAAAAAAGTATATTTGCTATTTTAAACCTAAGGTACATCATTATTATAAGTAACTAAAATACAGAATAATATGTTGAAAAAAAAATTGAATTGGATAAAAGTTATTGTTAGTTAAATCATACTTGAGTGTAATTCTTTATAGAGGATAGAAAAGGTTGTGAGTGGAATACTATAACACTAACAAACTTTTATACTTTTTCGTCTCGCTACATATTCTACCATTTGGGAATTTCGCATAACTGATATTCTTATATTTGAACGTATTAATATTGATTGTAAAATGAATTTACTTACTTTTAAAATAATCTTTAAATTTCAGACACAAAATATATTCCTTTTGAACAATTTCAAGAATTTTACTGGAGTCTTTGTCACAGTATAAAATTGATAAACGAGCAGTATGGATGGCAACTCTTGATGTGTTTGTTGCAAAATGTCATGAATTTTGTGATCGCTCCAAATGTTATAATAGTGCAAATAATGCATCCGGAAAAATGGGGGCCAGTTAACCTCAAAGTCACGGTAAATTGTTTTGCCTGGTTGTTAACTCACCTGTTGTACTTATTTTTGATGGTTATACCCACGTCCTACGCCGCTATTAAAGTAATAAAGAGTTGAGAATTTACGAATTACATGTAAAACAATATTGTTATGTTTATTACAGGCCGAAAAGACAGCTGTAACTATATGTAAACATTTAAACATATATCTGGGTCCAGATGATATGAACCGGGTAATTACAACCTAGGTTTGGTTTTACACTTGTTTTCTTACAAAAAATTCATCATGGAAAGGAGAATTTATAGTGCGGAGATTCGCGTTGCTTTTCTCACCAGTCGGGTAGAGAAAAGTACAGCGACCGATCTTTGAGCAACAGCCAGTGTAAAGAAGCATTGCCACGTTAACCCTTTTGGCCAATGCGCCATAAGTAGAGTTTATATAATATTTTTTAATAGCAAACATACCTAACTTAATGTATATCTTAGAGCAGTTACAAAATAGTTATAGCCTAATTTCTAATCAAATACAGAATATCATTTAAACTATTTACGTTTTACCTATTTGTTTGTAATTATCCATTTTAGGATTTAAGAAGTCCAAATTAGAATGAAAAATATGTATGACATTTGAACCCAATTACAGCTTATAATAAATATTGATGTTCTTAAAATTTGAGATAAACGTAACAACTTAATGCACATAATTCTATTATTTATGATAATATTAAAAAAAAAATTACGTTGTATATGTTGTAGCTGGAAACGTTTGTCCTACAGTTGCACAAATTAAAGCCCAATTTTAATATTTGTGGAGTCGTAAATCTACAAAGATCTACAATAACTGCGGTAATAATAATAATTATATTAATTTTATTATATTTTTTAAATTTTATTTGGATTTCACTTAAATGAGTGAGCATAAGTTTTAAATCTTTGGATTTATCATAAAATAAATATTATTGATTTTATTAAAATTTTGTGTGGTTCTTGAAATTGTTTAAGTTGAGGTGGTCTTTATAATATTTTTCATACCTCCGATGCAATTATCTAGCATTGGTAATTTTTAGCTTATCGTCAAATCGTAATTTGTAGAACTACTTAAAATGCCCAAAAAGTTACGAAAATAAATAGAATCAAAAATATCTGTATACCTTGAGTGTTATATGCGTAGTTTATTAAACTTCGAATAAATTATTCCTCGTTGTTTTTTAGGTGATTGGAATTGTTATTACATACATGGTAATTTTTATCCAATTTCAAAAAGCATAAACGTCGAAAGTGTACCTAGCCGATCTACTAAGCCATTATGAGTAGTACTATAAATAGTGAAATTTATAAAAAAACCGTTTTCGTAGTCCTATAAAAGTCTAACTAATATTCATTGTAGATTAAATGTGTAGATATTTATCTAATTTAAATATACTTGCTGAAAATGGCCATAATTAATAAAAACGCAATATAAAAATATGAAAATTTTGCATTTGTTTAATTTAATTTAATTTTAATTTTTATACTTATATATTTACTACTTATTATATTATTTGTTATCATTGATTAAAAATAAAATTGTATTTATAATCAATGAAGCAAGCTTAGTGAGTTCAAAGACTCACTGTGATTTTTTGATTAAGGAAAGGTGAGAAAGAAGAACTAAGTTTAGAAAAAAAAAATGATTAATTACTCTGGCGAATGAGTCTATTAAAACTAAATGCGATATTTTGTAGTGAAATCACCATTGAATTGATTCGGGTTTTGTAGTTCATCTTACTATGACATTTATCATATTGTAGTTTAACAGGTCTTGTAAGTCCAACGCTGCCATAATGATATTAATAGTTGATTAAGCAACTAAGGTATTATTTTTACGATGATTATGAGGTTTGAAAACCGATTTATACCGAAGAATTAGGTATATACCAAAAACTAATAGGACACTATTCAGGCTTTAGCCACAACATGTTTAAATAATAAAACAGAACCAAATAATGAACATTCAATAACTAGAAGAATAGGACCAAAGAATGTAAATGGGTTGGGCCGTTAAGATATTTGGTCTTGTAACGAGCCTGCTCGGCTGGTTGACTAGACTAGACGGAACGGTCGCCGATAGAGCTAAATAAGCGGATCTCGAATAGAGAACGTGGAGCTAGCTCGTATCTGCGCTTAAATAAACCTAAGTTTAGGGCGAGTGGTAACGGGTGGCCGAATGTACCGGTTACAATCTGTTGATTTCCAGTACGGCTAATGAGGCTAAACTATAGATGTAGCATTGCCAATACTGCGAGATGTGGAAAAAAATGAGGAATATGAACTTATTTTTGTGTTATTAGATACTTGTTTCATTATCATGAAGCTAAACTGGCTAATAAAAAAAAAAACGTTCCACCCGTAATAGGGTTAAGGGTGTATGCTATTTGTTTTGTTTGCAACTAAGTTTGTACATGATAACCAGAAGCTTTTTGTTTTCAAAGCATTTAGAAATTCAATATATACAATACAAAAATGACATAAACCATTTCTTAGAGCTGTAAACAAAACACTATGACAAAACTATGAATTGTTCCGTGGTTTAACATTTTCATATTTGTTACCTAAATTCTACTTTTCCTAACCTATCAGTACATTTTTCGCTGTCATAATTTAAATGCTACCGTGTAGGGAACAATATGTATCTTGTTTAGTTTTTTTACATAGGTATTCCGCGAATTGTGATATTATGGGTAATATGATATTTTTAATTTGTGTTATTTGTTTTTAATTTCGAAGTATTCTACGATAAACGAATACCTACTATTTAAACATTCTTACACCTTAACTAAAACGTTAAACATTTCCCGGTTATTATTAATACAACTTTACTCAACATACCATTTTCGAAAAAGATGACTAACTTAAAAAACCCTTGCACACAGACTATTGTTTCTAAATTGATGGCGGGACTAGGAAAAAGCGCTTTAATCTATCCGGTCCGATCAACAGCGGTCGGCATCGAGTTTAGTCCGAAACTCTACGCGTTCAACGTGCTCGTGGTGACTTTGCTGGTGATTATTGGCTACTGGTCATTGCTGAGCGAACTTAATTTGTACCAGATTGACCAATCGACACATTTCCAGAGTACGGCGATAGCGGTCGTCACGTGTGTGCAATACACACTGTATGCGATGTTTATCTTGGTAGCTGTTATTGGGTCAGCTGCCCGATACACCACGTTGTTGGACATTGAACAAGTGCTGGGCCGCGTGGATAGGGCGCTTGACAGCACAGCGGCCAACAGACGCGCCGAGTGGTGTGCATTTGGGTTTATCGTGCAAAACTTGCTGGTGTACGCGGTCGACCTTTATAGTTGGTTGTCGATTGGTTCGATAAAGAGTTATTTTATTGTGTACATTATACACTACATCACTTCAGTTTCAATAGTAATGTACGGGCAGATAGCTTGGTGTATCGGTCAACGGTTTGATACCCTTAACCGCGAGATGGAGGCCAAACTCAAACGGTTGTCGGCACCAAAATGCACAGAATTCGTTACCCGCAAATACCAAAGCCTATCTGACTTACTACTTTGTTCAAACGCCTGTCGTATAGGCGAGTTATTAAATAAATTGTTTCATTAGTTATGATGGGGGATTCGATGTGTTATAGTGGTAACCTCTAAATTATGTATTAATATATAATTTAATTGTCCATACTTATATGGGTACAAAATATGTATACACTCGTATGTGTATTTACATTTTAAACGCCTCCTCCCCCCACGTAAGTTTCATAGCTTGTGGGCTCCAAACCCAAAATCTCGAGTACTAATATTCATATTGCCTTGTAAGTATTCATAAAAAAGTGTGAGCAAAATATTTAACTGACCTCCGGACTAAAAATATATTTATGTTAAATACGATTAGAAAAAAAACACCTCATTATCACAATTTTTTTGACGTAATTTGCTTTGTTTATAGGATTTTAATAAAATGTTTTTTAGATTAGTTGATTAATGATCTGTTGTGTTTTTCAATTTTAGACATTAAACATATTCCTTTTCCGAAATTTCAAGAATTGTATTGGGGTCTTTGCAACAGTGTCAAAAAAATAAACGGACAATACGGTTTGCAGCTGTTAATCGGTCTGTTGCTAAATGTCATGGATCTTGTCATTACGCCAAAAATGTTGATAGTGAAAATATTTAATCCTGAGCGTTTCGGGCCTATCACCTTTGATGTAATAATCAGTCTCACTCTTTGGTTATCGTCTCATCTTTGCTTTTTATTTTTTATGGTGATACCTACTTCATATGCTGCCTCAAAGGTAATAAATTTCGTGTATTTCTGATTTATCAATATAATCATATTTTTTCTTTTAACAGGCCGAAAAGACAGCATGTATTATTTGTGAACATTTAAACATCTCTTTTGCTAAAGACGACATAGCACAGGTTATCATTTCCTAACCTAACATATTTTCTATAATTTTTTAAATATATGACCACAGACTATATGAAAATAGTCTGTGATATGACGGTGTTATAATATATCATTTGATGTACATGAAGTTGGCCCCCTACATTATATTATCAATTCTAAATTAGTGTGAAACTTTTGTAAATTAATTGTAAATCTGGTTTTAGAATTTATAAATACTTTTTAGGCTTTATAACCAAAATACTCTTTCGGGGGGCCAAGCTCACGGAACCCCCCGAATTTAACGGATCGACACCAAACTGGTGTCAACATTTTGTAAATTAATTGAAAATAATTGTAAATCTTCAACATTTTTAAATAATTTTTTCGATGTTATAACCAATGTATTGTTTCGGGGGACCAAATTCACGGAGCCCCCCGACGTAAAGTTGGTCACGTGGTTCATCGACTTATGCATGTGCTATAATTTTACAATTATTTTTAATTCATTTACAAAATGTTGACACCAGTTTGGAGTCGATCCGTTAAATTCAGGGGGCTCTGTGAGTTTGGCCCCCCAAAAAATATTTTGGTTATAATAATTTGGAATTGATAGTATAATGTAGACGGGCCAACTTCATGTTCATAGATAATGTCGCTGTCTTAACCCTGCACTAATTCCTTCCTCTATCCTAAAATTAATATGGAAAGGTAATTATTAATTTATCACAGCCCTTAGTTGCATTATATGTGTTACAGTTGGAGTTATTTATCCTTCAACTGCAAAAGTTCAAGCTACGATTTTCTATCTGTGGAGTCATTACGTTGCAAAGATCTACAATAACAACGGTATTGACTATATATATACAAGGGGATCAACTTATCGTGAACCACTCAATATCTCACAGGGTTAAATAAGAAATTTAATTTTTTCTTTCTATAATGTTTTATACGATGTGATCTTAATTTTTTTGTTTTACCCCCTCCCAAACTAGTGGTTTTGATAGCAACTTTTGAAACTTAAATGGTAACGCATAAATGTCATTACCATTTTAAATTAAAAACAATGTACTAAAAAGTTTGACTGGTCGTTAACCAGTTTTGGATAGCTATTTTTAAAGTTATAAGAGTTTAAAAGTTAGGATAGGAAAGGAAGTGCGGTTTGGAAATGCGTGCAGATAAAAATAATACTACACTCCACCTTTTCTCCTGCCCTGAACTTGAAACTTCAATAACTTCCAAAATAGTTAACGAAAACTGGTTATCGACCAGATAGTATGCATTCGAATAAATTATTTCTGGTTGGATTTCAGGTGATCGGAACAGTCATTACATATCTAGTGATTTCCATCCAGTTTCTTAGGAGCTCATAATTTACGAAGGTCATGGAATTTAGAATCATTCGATTAATATAGTAATAAAGCTTTTCTAATATGTAGAAAAATTGTTAAAATGTATTATTTTTAATGAATTACCATTATAAACATTACTGTATAATCATTTTTTTGTTAAAATGGTTAATATCTATGCGTGTTTTGCTATAGTTGCTTAGCTTTGCTATTCAAGTACATCCAAATACATTATAAGCATGAAACCTAAATTTGTAAACATTAATAGTATGCTATAAATGAAAAATAAATTATTTAAGTAGATATTTGTTTTGTGTATATTCATTAAGTTTGCTTATGATAAACATAAGCTATTTGTTTTCAAAGTATTTCGAAATTCAATATATACGTTTACCATGATTGACCAATCATTTCATGATAGACAATACAAAAATTACATAAACTATTTCTTAGGGCTGTAAAAAAACAATCATAACGCCATGAGTTGTTCCATAGAATATATTTTCTTTTAAAAGTATTTGTTACCTAAATTCTACTTTTACTAACCTATCAGTACATTTTTCGCTGTCATATTTTAAATGCTACTGTATAGGGAACAATATGTATCTTGTTTAGTTTTTTTGCATAGGTATTCCGCGAATTGTGATATTATAAGTAATATAATATTATAAATATTCCAATTTTGTTTTGATCATATGTCATTAGTTTTTTATTTCGAAGTATTCTACAATAAACGAATACCTACTATTTAAACATCCTTACACCTTAACTAAAACGTAAAACATTGTCCGGTTATTATAATTATAATTTTACTCAATATACCATTTTCGAAAAAGATGACTAACTTAAAAATCCTTAGCACACAGACTATTGTTTCTAAATTGATGGCGAGACTAGAAAAAAGCGCTTTTATCTATCCGGTCCGATCAACAACGGTCGGCATCAAGTTTAGTCCGAAACTCTACGCGTTCAACGTGCTCACGGTGACTTTGCTGGTGATTATTGGCTACTGGTCAGTGCTGAGCGAACTTAATTTGTACCGGCTTGAAAAATCGGTACATTTCCAGAATATGGCAATTGCAGTGCTCACGTTTGTGCATTACACTTTATATGCGGTGTCGAGCTTGGTAGCTGTAATTGGGTCAGCTGCTCGATACACCTTGTTGTTGGACATCGAACTTGTGCTGGACCGCGTCGATAGGGCGCTTGACAGCACAGCGGCCAACAGACGCGTCGAGTGGTGTGCATTTAGGTTTATCGTCCAAAACTCGGCGGTGTCCGCGGTGGACTACTATAACTTTTTGTCGATTGGTTCAAATAAGAGTTTTTTAATTATTTACACTTTACACTACATTACTTCAGTTTCAATGGTAATGTACGGGCAGATAGCTTGGTGTATCGGTCATCGGTTTGATGCCATTAACCGCGAGATGGAGGCCAAACTCGAACGGTTGTCGGCACCAAAATGCACAGAATTCGTTACCCGCAAATACCAAAGCCTATCTGACTAATACTTTGCTCCGACGCCTGTCGTATAGGTGAGTTATTAAATAAATGATTTCATTTGTTATATGTTATATATGTGGTAGTGGTATCTTACAATTATGTATAAATATACAATTAGATAAACACAAAATTATTTGTTAGGTACCTAAATTCTACTTTTACTAACGCATCAGTACATTTTTTTTTGTCATATTTTAAATGCTACCGAGCAGGGAACAATATGTATCTTGATTCATGTTTAGTTTTTTTACAAAGGTATATCGCGAATTGTAATATTATAAGTAATATGATATTATTAATATTACATTTTTGTTATGAACACATTTGTCCATACTTATATGGATACAAATTACATTTGTATTTTCATTTTAAATTTAAAACATATTTTCCCCCTAGTGTAAAAAACTTTGAACCATGGTATTTTTTTGTAGCCTTCTACAAAGGGCACGCAATATTTATATTCTTGGTTATAACTGGAAAGTATCAACCTAATGTTTTTTCCGTCTTAAAAATAGTGCAACCAAATCTTTCAAATACCTCCGAGCTACAAATTTATCGATGTTAAAAATAATGATCAACTCAACATCATGCATTTTTTGCCTTTTTATGACTTATTAATATTTTTAGCTTACACTTTTGTAGGTTTTCATTAATGGGCCAAAACGTATTATTTCTTGTTTACTGGATCTTAATAAAACTTATTTAGATAGATGTTCCGGTTGATTAATGAGTTGTTGGGTTTTTCAATTTCAGATATTAAATATATTCTTTTTCCGAAATTTCAAGAACTGTATTGGAGCTTTTGCAACAGTGTCAAAATAATTAACGAACAATACGGTTTGCAGCTGATAATCGGTATTTTGCTGAATGTCATGGGTCTTGTCTATTCGCCAAAAGTTTTGATAGCTAAAATAATCAATCCGGAGAGTTTCGGGCCTATCAGCGTTTATTTAATAATAAATATTACCCTTTGGCTATCGTCTCACCTTTGCTTTTTATGTTTTATGGTGATACCCACTTCATATGCTACCTCCAAGGTAATGAATTTAGTGTATTTCTGATTTATCAATATAATCATATGTTTTTCTTTTAACAGGCCGAAAAGACAGCATGTATTATTTGTGAACATTTAAACATCTCTTTTGCCAAAGACGACATAGCACAGGTGAAAATGTTTAAGTATTACTATAAACTATTGCGTAAATGCTGATAGCAATTATTTACGGTAACCTGACTTAAACAATCTTAAAAAGCTTTTATGTAGACTAAAATTATATATGGTTCTCGGTACGCTTAATTTCTGCAGTTTAGTGATTGCTAGATACACCACCTAATTTAGCGAATGTATGTGCATTCGTACACAGATAAAGTCGCTGCCTTTACCCTGCACTTTTTCCTTTCTCTATCCTAAAATTAATATGGAAAGGTAATTAATAATTTATCACAACCCTTAAATGCATTATATGTATTACAGTTGGAGTTATTTATTCTTCAACTGCAAAAGTTCAAGCTACGATTTTCTATTTGTGGAGTCATTACGTTGCAAAGATCTACAATAACAACGGTATTGATTATATATATATATATTTTGATTTTAGTTAATATAATCATAGTTATCTGAAGCTTAGCATTATTACCACACTGTTTTTCTATTACACTATTTAAAGAAAATTTAAAAATAACCTTTTCAAAAATACGGTTATTTTATAAGGAAAGCTAGTTCGGCCTGCTAACATTGAGGATGCATTTGAAGTAAATTATTTGTGATTGGTTTTCAGGTGATCGGAACAGTCATTACATATCTACTGATTAGCATCCAATTTCTAAAGAGCCCATAAACAACGAAGGCCGTGGAGTTTGCTATCATTAAATGCATTTTTTCTTTTAAGTACACGAATCTTTAGATAAACAAAGTAATGAAGCCTTGCTATTTTTTTAGAAAAATTGTTAAAATGTATTATTTTAAATTAATAACCATTTACCTTTATAATTTGTATACACTTTGTCTTGTTTATGTAGTTACTATCTATGCGTGTTTTGCTATATTTGTTTAAATATTTTCTAAAGTACATACAAATAAATTATTAGCATTTTTATATGCGTTAACATTATTGGTAGGCTATAAATAAAAAATATAGTATTGATTGATAAACTAATGAACGATTAAATGTTGGTGTTTATTCCTGGTAATATAATAATAATAATAATAGATATTTTGTAAACGAATAATATGCAGGTCACATATAATATTCTAAACAATATGACAATGATATAGGATGACAGCCCTTTTATACTTTGTTTTTCCGCAATAATAATAATATATTGTTAACGTGTTTAAAAACATCCAGGAAGAAATTTGGTATAGCGATAGAGTTTCTTTGTGAGAAAAAACGTAATAACAGTTTGTTATCGAATATTGAATAAACATTTACCCTAACTTACATGATATACAAGACATAAAAAATAATGTTAATTTCTTAGAGCTGTGAACAAAACCATATGACAAAACTATGAGCCGTTCCATAGTTAATATTTTCTTGTAAAATATTTGTTACTTAAATTCTTCTATTACTGACACATCAATGCATGTTTTGTTGTCATTCTTTAAATGCTACCGGGCAGGGGACAATATTTATCTTATTTAGTTATTGTACATGGGTATTCTGTGAATTTTAATATTGTAAGTAATATTTGAAGTTATTCGTTTAAAATTCCAAACTACCTGGAAAAACCGAGTACGTAATATCATAAAATGTTTACACCTTAAATAAAGAACAAAATATTTCTCGGTATTGTTAACATTAAAATATAACAAAACTATGAGCAGTTCCATAATTCATACATAAATATTTTTTAATTTATTATTAAAAAGTATAAACAAAAATAGGTTATACAATATTTGAAAGGCATACGGAGCGGGATGTTTAATTGTAAGTGTTGTAAAACTAAATCAAAAAATACTATAGCGAATTTATTGTTAATATAATTTTACTCAATACACCATTTTCGAATAAAATGACTAACTAAAAAACATAAAATTAAACGGTGTAGAGAAAAAAAAATAAATTTTAGCCGGAACACATTCCAAATCCTGTGGGAGCTTTTTGCCATACAGCTTCGGTTATTTTCTGTATACATTTTTTTAAATGTTACCTTTAATGTTTGCATATTTTAATTATAGACGTATTATACATATTATTTGTATGAACAAATAATATGTATAATATAAAAAAAGTATAAGCTAAAAAGCAATAGGACACGACATGTATACAAAGAACACCAACGCACAGCCAAGAAATGTAATGTATGTATTGCTGACAGTGTTATGACAAAAACGACCACGGGGTGTTGATATAGGTGTGTAATTTTATGCTACAATCAGATTATATTGCAAATGTATACCAGTTTTGGGTATAATATGAACAATTTGGCCGAACTGGATAACCCGAAACATATGCTGACTGTTATTCCAAAATCGATGGCGAGACTGGCGAGAAGCGCTTTGATCTACCTTGTGCAGTTTGACGGATCAACCGGCACCGAGTTCAACGTCAAGCATAATGTGTTCAACGTGTTCGTGGTGGTCGCACTGGTAATCGGCTGCTACTGGTCGTTGGGGGCTGAACTCATTGCGTTTATTGTGTTGGGCGATTCAAGAGCATATCAGTGGCGGTAATAGGTAGCGTGAATTACACGCTAATGGTATTACCATGCATGCTGGCCGTGATTGGGTCGGCGTCCAGACACACAACGATATTGGACATCGAGTGGATGTTGGATCGTGTGGACAAGACGTGTAATATGATAAGAATGGTGTACTTTCTGTCTTGTTGTCCAACACACGCTGCTGTTCGTAGCCGACTACTGTATGTGGATTTCAATCGAACCGGACAACAAAAGTTTTTTTTTAGTCTACGGGTTTTCACTATATCAATCTACAATCAAGCGATCTAGACCTTATTGGAGCTAACCGCATTATAATTAGTATTAAGTATTTATGTATTAAATATTTAGTGATTGGCTAATAAACTCTGTATTTCTTTAATATTTTTTTGTAGGATTTCCGTAATAAAATTACCTATATTTTCAATTATTTGCACTGAATACAACTTTCTCAACTGGTTATATTGTTATCAACATATACGTTTTTGTTGTTATTCTCATAAAAAATATTATTTCTAATTATGTTTATTTTTGGTATATCTAATAGTTGAATAAGAGATTCCGATTCCTATAGTAGTTTTACAAAAAGGATTTAAGGAAATGTTCAAGAAACAAGTCATATAATATCTTTATAAATATTTTCATAAACTATAATCAGTTTTAAATATTTCTTTGTATAGAATACTTTTAAGACATAGTACTACTAATAAACATTGATAAACTAAAAAAAATATCATAAATCCTTTCCCTTAGAAGGGATAGACATATTTTTTTTATTATACTTTTTTATGTAAAGTTTTAGGGATTTAGGTCTGAAAATTAGACCGAAGGTAGATCTAGAATAAAACTATTGCTACGTGTGAGTGAATCAACAGTCAACAATTAACAATAATGAAAATGTTTTTATTGTATTGTTAATTAAGATGTATGGGTAACTATGCCCAACATTTTTAAGGAAAGACGATTAATCCTAATCGTGTCTAACCTTATACTAAAAATTAATTTTTAAGCACAAAATTGTCATTAGGTACAATGCTTTTATCGATAATTGTATTTGTATCTGTGAACACTGGACCTCCCTTACTTACCATGCCTTTAACGCGTCAAGCCCAATTGTGTAACTCTAATTGTGAAATCACTCTACTAAGTATAATGCAATGTCGTAGGATAATACGTTTTAAACCTATATTCATAAACATTAATGGTTATCTATAAATAAAAAATAAAGGATTGAATGACGAACTATAGAACGATAAAATTGTTGTAATGTTTTTTCCTGGTATTATAAGAAGAAAAAAATGTATATTTTGCACGCATGAACATTATATGCATGTCACATATAATATTCTAAACAATAATATGTCAAGGGTATGTGATGTGAGATGTCAGTCCTTTTATAGTTAGTTTTTCCGCAATAATCTATTGTTAGAATGTGTAAAAACATCCAGACAACAATTTGGGTGTAGCGAGAGAGTTTCCGTATGGGGAAAACGTAATATCAGTGTGTTGTGGTTCAACAATATGGAAAATCCAAAACGGTGGTCTGTTCTTTCTAAATTGTTAACGAGACTGACAAAGACCGCTTTGATCTATCCGGTGCGGTTCGCCGGGGTGGAGTTCAGTCCGAAACTGTATGCGTTCAACGTGCTCGCCCTGACTGTAATGTTGATCATCGGCTACTGGTCGTTGCTGGGCGAACTGAACGCATTTTGGATGGGTCATTCGACGCGCTTCAAGAACGCCCCACAAGCAGTGGTCGCGGCCCTGAATTTTACCCTGATGACATTACCGTGCACGATGGCCGTGTTCGGGTCGCCATCCCGGCACGCCACGTTGATGGACATCCAGCGAGTCCTGGACCGCGTGGACAGGGCACTCGACGGCGTAGCGGCCGACAGACGCGTCGAGTGGTGCACTTCATTGCTTGTCGTTTTCCATACGCTGCTGTACGCCTTCGATTGCAATTTCTGGTTGTCAGTCGATCCGAGCAACCGAAGTTATTGCGTGATCTACGCGTTTCACCATATAAATCTGATGGCCGTGGCCATGTACGCACAGAGCGCATGGTGTATCGGTCATCGGTTTGATACCGTTAACCGCGAGTTGGAGGCTAAGCTCGAACGGTTGTCGGCGACAAAATGCACGGAATTCGTAATCCGCAAATACCAAAGACTATCTGATTTAATAATTTGCTCCAACGCCTGTCGTAGAGGTGAGTTGTAATATTATTTATTTTTATTAGTTCTTCGATGGAGATTTTATTTGTTGTAACGACGTATCTACTATCTCAGGCCAATCTTGGGATCATTTTAAGTGACTTACATGTAACCAAACGTTATGTGATAATATTTATTTGTATGGACACGGTTCTGTACGGAACTGTGTTATATTATTATATTGTAAAACAAAAATAATTTTTAAAAGTGAAACTTTGCGACGGTTTTGAATGTATGAAAAGTGAAAACTGATAGGAAGGTTAAGGCCATATTAAAGCAATTATACCACTATAAAGTTAGTACTAGAAACCCTATTGACCCTATTATTTTTATTACACATTTGTCATTTAATATTGTCATTTTTCAAAATCAATTGCCACCATTAAATATGTTGGATATATTGGAGGTACACGCTGGCTTCTAGTTATTATTTAATATTATTATATTTCTGTTTATTCTACCTTTTTTTTTGCCGAGGATCCGGGAAAGAAACCACTTCGCATTACTTCTTTTATTTATTCTACCAAAACTTATAGAGTTTTTAAAAATTATCTCAGTTTAATTATCTCAGTTTTATCAAAAACGAGTTAGGATGGCATGGGAAGTGCTGTTGAGTAATGTACATAGACAAAAATAGTACTACTCTCCACTTCAGTACGGAAAATTAAATTCAATAACTGATTAAAACCTATAAGATATGGAATGGATCATTTAAAAAAAATCTCGCTGGATATTTTTTATCTTTTTGGTTATTAAAATGATTATGTTTTAAAATTTCAGACGTAAAATATTTTCCTTTTACGAAATTTCAAGAACTTTATTGGAATCTTTGCTGTGCCGTCAGAATGACTAACGATCAGTACGGATTGCAACTCTTTATGAGTTTGTTGCAGATTATCATAAATCTTATCTTCGTCGCGAATAATGTACTAGTGAAAATATTCTATTCAACAGTTTCGGAGCCTGTCGACGCCTACTTAATAATGCTTTATTTTGCTTGGATATTGTCTCAACTGTGTTATTTATTTTTAATGGTCATGCCCCCGTCTCTTGCGGCCTTGAAAGTATAAAATGTCAAATAATTCCGCAATATCTAAATAACTTTCGTTTTAATTTTTACAGGCCGAAAAAACACCTGTAATTATATGTGAATACTTAGACATAGACCTCACACCAGACGACACAAAACAGGTCAGGTATTTATTAAGAAGCTCATAAGGCAGATTACGTATTTTGTGCTAAATTTGAACCACCAATTAAGAATTTTTCGTTAAGTAGTGTTATTTCCTAAATTTTGATTAATTCTTCGTGGGATACGATTATTCAAAGTGACTAATTTATGAATTATTATAAATTGATTACGACTATAACAAAAGTCTATATCATTGTAAATATCAATGTATATTAAGCTTGATTCTGATCAATATCTAATTATTTTGTTTTAATAAAGAGTACTTATGCTACTTCCTCATTTTAATATTATGTATTTCAGTTGGAAATATTTGTCCTTCAACTGCACAAGTTTAAGATAAGCTTTTCTATTTGTGGAGTAATGCGGTTGCAAACCTCTTTTATAACGAGGGTAATATAAATTCAAAAATAAAATACATATTTAGTTTTTATTTCAAATTTACACAGCGAAAATATTAAATTTATGCTTTTATTATAATGTTCTTTTTATTTATCTTGTTTTATGGAAATAGAGTCAGCCCGCAAAATTCTCTCTTCAAATATCTCATAATAAAACATTCAAAAAAATTATGCTTGTCTTAACTACAGTTTTTTAACATTTTATTCTTAAGAGGCGCTTTTCTGTTGCTAAGCACCTGTGTTGACTGTTTCCGCGAAATTCTACCACACTTTATTCTGCTCGACGCATCTTCTTGAAAACTAACGCTAATGCGAAAATAAAATATATTGAAACTAGATGGATATTTTAGCTATTTTGATAAATGTGTAGTAAAACAAGTTTGATTTATTTTCAGGTGATCGGAACGACTATTACATATTTGATGGTTTTAGTTCAATTTCAAAACCCTTCATGAAGGCTTCGCCGGATGAAGATCAATACAAAATATATTACTTATACACATACTTACTGTATTTTATTTTTATTTTTAAATTGGGGCCGGCGTTACATTTTGCGTAGCTTAAGACAAGATTTATGGTTTAATTAATTGGGGAGGGGAAGCATGTTACAAAAAAATTATCAACACAGTTAGTTGCAATTCTTTAAAGCGTGAGATCCCGAACATAAACGCACTATCTATCCCTCGCCCTCAAACGCGCTGGCTCTGTTTAAAGCAAAAAACAATATAGGACATTATACAAGTAACACCTGTACATAATATATATGAATTACCGTAAATTACCTAAAAATGTGTATATACCTACCTGCGATTAATGTCTATTTGTAAGCTTCGATAATTGTTATTTCAAACTGGCACTTTAAGTATTTATATTTAAAAACAAATACAAATTATCTTATTTTACACAAATATACGGCAAGCGGTATTTCAAACAGCTGATTATATAAAGACAAAAAACATGAAAAATAGTGGTTAAGGCACATGCGAGAGATTTAAAAAAAGACTGTGTGTGTTATGAGATGCGCAATTGAAGTGAAACATAATGGGTTTTGGTAATGCTGTACTTCCGTCTCTGGCCGGTTAGTATGAAAGCAAAGCCACCAATACCTATGCTCTGGTCTAAATCAGCGTTAATTATGATGGTAGGTGCAGATGGATCTAATGAGTTATACATAATAACCAATGGCAATTATTATAATAAATGAGCTTTTCTTATACTCTCTTACACGTTGTAAGCTGCGGTAAGACATAACACAGTGATACAGCCCGTCTTGGCAGCAGATGACCAGGCTGTAATAGCATAGTGTGTGTTTATTCTTAACGAAATTAGTACAAAATATTTCCGAAACGTAAAAACTCATTTTTTTCTTTTATCATGCATCTCATTATGTTTTAGATCTTCCTTGTGGTCCTTATATCGCTAAAAATGTATTTACATTTAATCTATTCGTCACTGTTCGAATCATTAACAGAACACTGTGAAGTTCAGTGTACTTGGATTAAATTTAATTACCAATTTCTGATCAAAACTTATTAGGTATACCTTAATCGCGGTTTACAATGTATATTTGTGGCGGTGAAAATTGTGAGATGAACTTTTTTAGTTTTTGGCCATTTATAGTACGGTATTTGATCTAAAGATTTGGGTATGACCACGGCAGCTGAGGGTCCGAAACATGGGCTTAAAACCAGTGACATGAATAAATCTGAAACTCATCCGCATGATATTTCAATCCATGAATGCATCAACAAATTCATAATAATCTTGTTGCTTAGTTATTGCGCTACTTTAGTATCGCAATTTAGTGTCGTTTTCGGATTGGAGGGCCAAGGCTAAAGCATGTTCCCTGATAAAATTTCATCATTTTAAAAACCATACCTTCTAATCTCCGTATTGATGCTAAAATTGTAACAATTTTGTTGTTACTACAATCAATAAAATGATGACAAGGCTAAAACGAAATGTCAAGCTTACCAATTATTATTTTTATTATTTCCATCATAGAATCTATTCTTAGAACAAAGATACGTTTAAAAAAAAATGCGTATAGGACACTTGTATAGAGCGCGGTGGTGTACCGCGTGCCAGTATAGTTTAGCAGCACCCGTCAGTCTTGTAAAAAGAACAACCACAGAAGAGTTATAAATTATGTGGACAAGGTGATCGAAAATGTACAAACTTCAAACTTTCAATTATATTTTAGACAAATTTTAGGTTTTTTCGTTTTTCCTATGGCTTATCCTTTTAATCGGTTTTAACCGATTCCAATAAGAAATCCCTAAAATTCCAGATTTTAAGAGCTTAACTCTCAGCACTTCTTCGTGGTTTTTCATTTTTGCATTTGATTAACATAGAAAACGTTAATAAACTACAATATGTAGTACCTTAACCGTATCATATTATTTGAGATATATACGGCATATGCATGGTTAATATAGAATATTTGTATGAATTAGTAAAATATACCCACGGTTAATCGTATTCCCTTTAATATTTGCCGATATTATAACAAAAAATAACGCACTTGACACAGAGAAATAATTAATTGAAAAATACCATTAATCACCTATTTTCTGACGTGTTGATATTACCATTATTGGTATCACTATGTGTAGCAGGTATAAGGTACAGGGTACTGTATACGTGACATGTATACAGTACACAGTGGTTAAAGTTTTCGGTCACATTTAGTAAAAAAGTGAAATAAATAAAAAGTTTTAGCAGACATTTCTATTAGCACATTTTTCCATTAGTGGAATCATAAAATTACAAAGATCTTCATTTGCTGTGGTGTGTAAATAGTATTTTGTTGAAAAGTTTACTTTCAAAATTTTCAGATAATTACAAGTTAAATCTTTGGGTTTGAATTTAAAAAAATGTGATTGACTTTCAAGCGATCGGAACTGTCATTACATATCAGCTGATTTCTCTATTTAATTGTAAAACAGTTTTTGAACGTAGCCGATTGACTATTTATGTAATAGTGATATACATATAATACATGAATAAGACATGAATGTTAATAATTTCTTTTTAATTTCATTACCTCCAGTGGTGAATGATTCTTTTTCTTAGTCTCCAATGTGTTAACTCTCATTCTTATATTTTTACCATCGTGCTTTTGTTAATCAAAACAGGGTTGTATTACTATTAATTTGTCAATTTCAACCCTGTGTTTATTATTTTTGTATTCACGTTGATCACATTGCTATAAAAACCAGAAACTTTAAACATTTTTTTTTTTTTTGTTACACGTTATTGTACGATATTATATTCTATTATATGGTGTCGTTTTTATTTTTCATAATAAAAAAAAACCGCAGTCTTAATTTATTATTAATATATTAACGCAAGTCTCCAACGTCCTTTTGTTCTACCTTTTTTGTGTTGTATTCTTTAAAATGCGTAGTTACTGATTTTCGGTATTGTACCTACGTTGTCAGTACAGCACACTGTCACACAGGGGCACGAGCTCGAGTTTCACTACCTACTTGCTACGACGCTACTCGCTTGGCACTGAGCATGTACGGGTTGTCCAAGTTTTTGTTGGCGCTGTGGCGGTTCTCGTTCATATGTCCGGTGGTCAAGCACCGAGCGGCCGACACATACCGGTTTAGCCGGTGCTTTTACATGTTCAACTTGATCATGCTGACCGTGTTCGTCGGCCAAAGCGTCTGGGCCGTCATCTCGGACGTGACTTTCGGCCGGACGTTGCGCATCAAGAGCACCACGACCACGGTGGTGACCGTCTTGCAGACCGTGTTGATGGCAATGTTGTGCGTGTTGGCCGTGTGCGGTTCGGCGGGACGCCACGAGACAATGCTGGAGATCGAGAGGCGGCTGCGCCGGGTGGATAAAGCGCTGGGAAGCCTTCCCGACCAGCCGATCGTCCGGTTCGGGGTCATGCTGCTGACGTGCAACACGGCGTTGTACATACTCGACGCATACGCCTGGTACCGGATCGACCAGCCCATCACCGCCTACTGGGTGTTCTACGTGTACGAGCACATTAGCGTGGCGTCATTGTTGTTGTACGCACAAATCACGTGGTGCATAGGCCAGAGGTTCCACCGGATCAACAGTCAGATCGAGTACAAGCTAAGGGAATGCATAAAAAACGCGACGAAAAAACAGATGAACCCCACACGCCAGCCAATGGTTTTCGTCAACAATTATACCGGTAAGTATTACAGTTGGAAAACAGCTCTCGGGACACCGCGAATGCCGTGTAAAAACGTCGGAATGGAAGGCAATGTGCGAGAGTCAGTAATGACTATAGTAACCCAAGAATCCCACAAGCGCAAAAAATTCTGGCAGTATCCCTTTAGGCACCGATAACGAAACCGTGAAACCTATAGAATTTATTTACCTTCCAAAATAAGACACACGTCAGAATCAACTAGAAATCCCGTTTAGGTATTTCAAATTACGAGTAAGAAAATTTCAAATTAAAAAGTAAGAAAATGACCTGCTGATGCTTGTAAAGGGAGTTCAGGACCGGACAATTTTTAGGACGATCGTTGGACCTCCAAAAGACATCCTTGAGGAGTTTATCATTCTTAATCATACTTATACAGGAATGAGTAACTTAATTTGAATAATAATATACAAATGATTTACAAGTCAGCGGTATATTTAGGTTAAGTGATGACACGGTTTAATTTATTATAGTTATTAATGTTGCGTTCTTTCTTAGACATCAATACAGTGTCTATTGCTAAACTCCAAGAACTCCACGATAGCCTTTGCAGTTGCATCAAAATGGTCAATGACAAGTTCGGCTGGCAGTTGTTCGTAACATTATTTTGCAACTGCGTGCATCTTATAGTGACGTCCAACTTAATGCTCGTCGAGTTGTTCTTTCCGGCCGAGGCAAACGCCAACACCGATATTTACTTCAAATGCATACAAGTCATTTGGGTTTTAATACATATATCTCATCTGCTTTTGATAGTATTACCTCCTTCGTACGCCACTAAAAAGGCACGTAACCGAATAGCTGTATTTTTTTTTTACACAATTAATTTAATTAATTTTTTTTAATAGGCTGAACGAACTGCCGTGATCATATGTAAACATTTATCAATGTCCTTGGAACAAGACGACATGAAACAGGTAAGCTCAGTGATTTTTATAATAATAATAATATATACAAACACATCTTATGTTATGATGTTCTTCACTCGGGATTCGTTTCATCATTCCAAATTGACTACATAAATTACTATCATTTAAAGTTCTTTTATAAATGATATGTTTTCAGCTGGAAATGTTTGTTCTTCAGTCACACAAAGAAATAATCAATTTTTCTGCTTGTGGAGTTATGAGCTTGCATAGATCTACGATTACTACGGTAATAATAAATAAATAAAATATTTTTTTGCAATTAATGAGCTAAGAACCATCCTAGTATATAATTAATATAATTAGATAAAAAAAAACAAAATATAATACAAGCTCTATTATCTTACATCGAAATTTCCAATTTACATAAATATTACTTTTTGAGTCAGTATGATTGACAATAGGTAGTTGTTTACAGGTAGCAGATTAGAAATCAAATTAAAAATCCTTACTCTTCTATTTATTTATGGTTGGTTTTTATTTCAACCTTCAAACTTTAGTTAATTTCTCTTTTTCGCCTATTCTATAATCTATTAATTTATTTGAGGGTTGCCTCTCTACTCTACAACATCCACTTATCATGAGCAGTTACATCTTCTACACACACATCACAAATGCTGTACTAAAATGACTACATACTAAACCATCACCTTGTTGGCTTTCCTCACTCTATTATATTTACATAACATGTCTATTAAACATACTTCCTTCCTACCTAAAAATTGTTTTTTTCAAAATTATAACTAAGTTAATATAATATGATAAAAAATATTATGAAAATATGAAAATTACACGAATGTAACGTTTTGGTTGATTTCAGATAGTCGGAACTGCAATAACGTATCTATCGATTTTAATTCAATTTAAAAACTCTGCATAAACTCACGCCTCATACATAATGTAAAACCGTTCGCCTAATAGAATGTATTATAATATAATATTATACCTATAATTACTGTCGCTGTAAAAGTCCTTTGAATATGTATTTTTTCTTTTCTAACTGGTTAATTGTTTTGACTATGAAATAAAATACTGAAAATTGATCTTAAAATATTGTTTTATGTCCTCAAACCTTTAAGGTATTTAATATTGACAACAAATATACCGCACACGTATTTCTAAAGTGACACAAGTCTAAAACTGGTATTTTTGGGTTATCGCCCAGTCGTTGGAGAATGGTTGTCACGGTCGCCCAGCGCATGTTAAACCGTCGACGGCGTGGCAAACATGTTTTGTGATATACGCCCGGTCAGACATGGATGTGACGGATATTATAATAACATAACGTTGTATTAAATGATTTATTTTTATAATTTTATAAAAAAAGAAAACATGGGAAAACGTTTAAGTAATGTAAATGAGAACGTTCATGAGTTATGTTGTTTTAATGAAATGGTCATGGTCTCTATAAATAAGAATTTGAATATTATCTGGCTTAGGTTTATAGAATTTTAGATACTTTTGCTAATTTCGTTTTAAAAAAAAAAAGATGAGCGAGTCCAAAATGTATAGATGCTGTACTACAAATACTGTCGTTTTTTCTTGAAACTTTGCATACAAATTTTATATGTTTATACCTTAACATCACATTTTTTTCAACAATCCCTTTACTTAATCACTTTTTTATTTTCATTCCTCTGCCAAAAAGCCATCGCCCTGGTTTATGCATGGTATTTAATACTAGGTTTTAAGAAAGAGTGCTCAATTTTACACATTTAGTATCCGCATACCCGTTATTGTTTTCGGTTTATCAATTTTTCGTTTGGTATTCTTAAATTCATTCACTTTTCTTAGTTTTGTAACTTTGTTTTTACCAAGACTTTAACGCTTGATATTATATTGGTCGAAACTTATTTTATAATACTAAAATTGACAATGATTGTTTTTATAGTAAAAAAATCATAGAAAACCCGACACCGTAAAATATAATACGACATAATATTATCATAAATAACTTTTTTAATAACGCGATTATTTTTCTCTTACCGTGTATACGTTTGTAAATATCTTATAACATACCGTACAACGTATTATACACCTTTATGTGAACTAAAGACACTGTTGTGTGTTTTTTTTGTCACAAAAAAAAACATACATATTCAAGAATTTATTTATTTCTGCGATCAAAAATATGTCAAAACTATGTCATCGACCTTTTCATAATTTATTTTAACCGATCAAAAGAATCAATTGTTAAAAAAAAAATGTAACTAAAAAGCGATCGGACACGACATGTATACAAAGGACATCGACACACAGCCAACAAGTGTAATGTACTTAGGCATTGCTGACAGCTGTGTTATGACAAAAACGACCGCGGAGGTGTTGTATAATATAATTTTATACCACAGTCAAATTACATCGCAAATGTATACCAGTTTTGGGTATAATATGAACAATTTGGCCGAACTGGATAACCCGAAACAAACGCTGACTGTTCTTCAAAAAATCGCTGGCGAGACTGGTGAGGAGCGCTTTGATCTACCTTGTGCGGTTTGTCGGATCAACCGGTGCCGAGTTCAACGTCAAGCATTATGCGTTCAACGTGCTCGCGGCGGTCGCGCTGGTAATCGGCTGCTACTGGTAGTTGGGGGCTGAACTCATTGCGTTTGTTGTGTTGGGTTCAAGATTCAAGAGCGTATCAGTGGCGGTAATCGGTAGCGTGAATTACACGCTGACGGTATTGCCATGCATGCTGGCCGTGATTGGTCGGCATCCAACATCTAATTAGGCATTCGCTAAAATCTATATAGTATTGACAGTGAACTTTTTAATTTAGTCAAAAGTAATATCAACAAAAATTTCGACTGTTATCCAATGATCGTGACGTCAAGTTGCATAATAATTGTTAAATTTTTCGTCAACTAAGCGACAATCACTTAACACTAACACCAACAAATATGAACTTAAAAGTATACAAATGGTATGGGTCAAAACATTTTCATGTAAAACAAATTAATTTGTTACTTCTTGTTATTTTATATTTGGGTTTAGACTCGCAATAGATTAGACGATAGGCCAACGTATTGAATAGGTAATACTATATTAATAAAGATAACTATTGGTTTTGGAAATTCAAAAATGTGTCAGCTTTAATTCAAACAATGTCGAAGACTATTTTTATTTTGTGTAACGTAGATTATGGCTTTATTTTATAGACATTTCTTAATGTATTGGTAGACCGTACACTGATTGACGGATACATGGGCGTAATGCAATGTCCAGATATGTTAAACCGCTCACTATTATTACTTATTTGCCTGCTGTCACGGTCGGAACTGATAATATAATATGCTTCTCTAAGTACATTATACACATTTGCATAAGTATCGTTGTAGAAGTCGTCCATGTATGTATTGTTCGTTATCTAATTATTTTGTTAGCTGCGAAATAAAATACCAAACGAAAAATAATTATCAGCAGTAGTTTGCAAACATGCATTCCGTTTCAAAATTTATAATTTTTTTATGGCGGCTAACCGGCCTGGGTTCGTTTTCCACGGACAACGACCGGGCGTCCAGCATCGCGTTGTCCAGAAGAGCCATCTTGTACACGTTGGCCGTTTACGGTGCGTACACAATTGTATGCGCTTTGGACTTCGTGTCCAGACGGTCTTGGCACGCGTATTTCAACGTGTCGCCGACGGACACCAACAACCGGTACAAGACCATCTGGGAAACGACCATGGCTCTGCTGTTCGTAGCGTCCACTGGCACCTTTTGGAGTACGGCCATGTGCCGTAAAGAACACCGACGGGTGTTCGACTGACACGTGGCGCTCGTCCGCGAGCTGACCGGTGTCAGCCGCGACGTCACCGTACGGCCGTCCTGGGGGCTAGACGCTTGCTGCTGGACGGTGTACCTGTTCATGGCCACCGCCATTGTATTCGACGCGTCCCTGACAGGCTCTTTGTCCTGGAAGTGGCTGGTCGCATACGTCTGGGGACACTACAATTTGCTGACCGGTCACTTGCAGTTCGCTGTCACCGTCGCCGGATTGACCGAATGTTACCGAATGCTCAACGACCGCATCACGATTGCCCGCAACGCGTTGAACGTGGACCGCGCGGCAAACATGTTCTGTGACATACCCCAAACAAACGCGACTGTCATAAGTGGTGAGATGAGACGGATATTAACGTTGTTTTATATTGTTTTTACCAACGAGTACATCTTATAATGTAATTCTACTTAATCTATGACATATCTGGTGACCCTTAAGTAACGTTTAAATTGTTAACGAAATTATGTTGGAGTTTTAAAGGGCGTCAACTAGAGTCTGTTCTTTGCTGTATTAGCTGTATGAGAACAAATATAGATTGCAAATAAATGGTAAATTGTAGTGAGAATATTTTTCAGTTTTGGACAAAGTGAAGTTGCTGACCATGGTAAAGTATTGGTCGGACATCCATTGGTCTATAACGCAAAACTTAACCAGAGTCAACGGTCTTTTCAAATTCCGGTTGTTCGTGTACTTTGTTTCCGGTTTGTATTTCTTAATAACGACACCGTACCAGTTGGCTATAGCCATACTGTTCGAAGAAATCGACGTTGTCCCGCACATCGTTCAGCGCACGTTATGGTTCGTCGGTATCATCCTGAGGATGTGCTTGATCATATTTCCATGCTCTCTACTCAACGACGAGGTAACCATATAAATACAAAATGTCCTTCAAATATTTATAATTGTACTCGTGAAAAATAAAACAATCTTGATATTGTTTTATTTTTTTGGTTTGACCGATGTACAGGTGATCAAGACAAAGATATTGCTCGGAAGTTTCCTCGATACGAACATGGACTTGATAGATATCATAAAAGTAAGGAAATAAAAATAAAAATTACATGCATGCTAAGGAAAACATTAGAAAAAACACCAAATGTATATAATTAACTCACAACACAGTTTAGTAATTGTTTTACTGAATTATTCATAATCTAGTCTTGAGATATCATAAAGTACCCGTCACTTATTCCTAAAGAGATTTTTTATTTACATGTTCATATAATACAATATAACAGTCATAATTAGTTTCCATGCCGAATTACAAATGTTATTAATTTTGCAAATAGTAAATCAAACGCTAAAAAATCAATTATTACCAGAATTAATTTAAAAAATACAACATAAAATACATTCAACCACAACCATTCACGCAGAAATTCAATATATTATTGAGATCTGGTAAAAAAAATATAGATAAGTAGGTATAATATTTTTTTGGAAAACAATATTGTAACATTTGTGTTACAAATGTTTGATTTCCTGTCAAATCAAAATATGTAATGCAGTAATTGGTAGTTTTTCAATGTTAAAACTATTGTTACAATAGTTATTGTAATACAACATTTATAATTTTCAATGAAATTTTATAAAAAATTTTTTTAAAATCGACCGTTCTTGTATGAATAATAACAATGAATTAAGCTATACGTGGTTTAATATAAAACTGACTTGTCTACAACAGGTCCTAAAGTATAATCATTTGCTTAAAACATGCGTCTTTTGTATGCTATTAAGTTTTAGAGATTTTCGAGTGAAAGTCACTTCAGGATTACAATATTGATTGATTAATAATTAATTATTCGTTGTAATTAATATTTACTTCTATTGACGTCTAACTTTAAGATAGAAATATCGGGTAATGAAAAGTTATTAACACAGTACCAAAAATAATATATCAACTATCTAAATGATAGAAGTTTTAATAGACATTTTGAAATTTCAGGTAATCGTTTAAACAAGTAATACGTGAATACATGTTATTAAAAATGACCCAATTAATTATAAAAAACAAAATAATGATCTTCTCGTAACATATTTAATGGAAATAATAATTGTCAACTAAACCGACCATTAATTTGTATGATTTTAGACTTGTTTCGCAGATGAAAATATATATGTACAATATATGTAGGTACAT